CTCCTTGAATTCTTTTATTTTTTGGTTAGATTTATCTAGTTCTGAGAAGGGAAAGTTGAGATCCCCCACTAGTATTGTTTTATTGTCTGTTTCCTCCTGTAACTCATTCATCTTCTCCTTCAAAAATTTAGATGGTATACCATTTGATGCATATATGTTTAGTATTGATATGACTTCATTGTCTATGGTACCTTTCAGCAAGATGTAATTTACTTCTTTATCTCTTTTAATTAGATTTATTATTCCTTTTGCTTTGTCTGAGATCATGATTGCTACCTCTGCTTTCTTTGCTTCAGCTGAAGCATAATAATTCTGCTCCAGGCCCTTATCTTTACCCTGTGTATATCTCTCTGCTTCAAATGTGTTTCTTGTAAACAACATATTGTAGAATTCTGTTTTTTAATCCATTCTGCTATCCACTTCTATTTGGTGGGTCAGTTCATTCCACTCACATTTATAGTTATAATTACTGTGTATTTCCCTCCATGCTATTTTGCACTTCTTCATCCCCCTCTTTCTTATATCCCACCCTTTCTGTCCGCACAAGTGTTTTATTTCTGATTCCATCTTCCCCAATATACTCTCCCTTTTACCACTTCCCTCTCCACCTTTTATTATCCCCATCTCTTTTTACTTCTTTATAGAGTTAGATGGATTTCTACATACAACTGAGTGTGTATGTTATTCCCTCGTTGAACCAATTTTGATGAGAGTAAGGTTTAAGCTTTACCTGCCAACTCCCCACCCCCATTTTCCCCTCCATTATGATAGCTCTTTCAAGCTTCTTTTATGTAGGATAATTTACCCCATTCAATTTACCCCTCCTCCTTTCAGTGCAATTTTCTTTCTCACCCCTTTATTTTGTTTTTGGGGATATCATCCCATTAAAGTCACCTTATATCCACACTCTATCTACATATATTTCTTCTAATTGCTCTTATAATAATAAAGTTGTTGAGGTACAAATATTATCTTGCCATACAGAAATATAAGCAGTTTAACCTTATTGAATTTCTTGTTTTCTCCTTCTTGTTTCTTTTTTGCCTTTTTATGTTTCCCTTGAATCTTGTATTTGGAGGTCAGATTTTTTTATTCAGCTCTGGTCTTTTAATTAGAAATGCTTGAAAGTCCTCTGTTTTGTTAAATGTCTATTTCTCCGAATGTTTATATTCAATTTTGCTGGGTAGGTGATTCTTGGATGTAATCCTAACTCCATTACTTTCCAGCATATCATATTCCAAGCCCTCCAGTTCTGCCAAATCCTGTGCAATCTTGACTGTAGCTCCATGATGTTTGAATTGTTTCTTTTTTGGCTGTCTGCAATGCTTTCTCCTTGATCTATGAGCTCTGGAATTTGGCTATGATGTTCCTGGGAGCTTTCATCTTGGGATCCCTTTCAGGTGGTGATTGGTGAATCCTTTCAATTTCTATTTTGCCCTCTGGTTCTAATATATCAGGGCAGTTTTCTTTGATAATTTCTTGAAAGATGTTGTCCAGGCTTCTTTTTTATCATGGCTTTCAGGTGGTCTAATAATTCTTACATTACCTCTCCTGGATTTATTTTCTAGATCAGTTCTTTTTCCAGAGAGAAATTTTACATTTTCCTTTACTTACTTTTTTGATTTTGTTTTGTTGTATCTTGATGTCTCATAGAGTCATTAGTTTCCACTTGTTCAATTCAATTTTTAAAGAATTATATTCTTTAATGAACTTTTTAATTCCTTTTCCACTTGGCCAATTCTATTTTTTAGGGAATTATTTTCCTGAGTAAAGTTTTGTGTATCTTTTCCCATGCTATTGACTCTTTCTTCATGATTCTCTTGAATTACTCATTTCTTTTCCCAATTTTTCTTCTACTTCTCTAATTTGCTTTTTAAAATCCTTTTTAAGCTTGTCCAAGAATTCTTTTTGGGCCTGAAACCAAATTACATTTTTCTTTGAGGCTCCTTATGTAGCCATTTTGACACTATTGTCCTCTTCTAAGGTTATGCCTTGATCTTCACTATCATCTTAGTAACATTCTGTAGTCAAGCCTTTTTTTTTGCTGCCTTTTTCTGGTGATTTGGTCTTTTTATGTAAGAATTGGGCTCTGGTCCTGCACTGTCCCAACCTTTTTTGTGCTGGGGCTCTGGGCCTTACTGTTGGCTTTCACTGCTTGCTTAAGGCTTAGTTGATTGCTTCCTCTAGAGAGTAGGCTTCCCTTCTGTCTTGTACTAGGGCAGGGGGTCCCATTGTCCTCCCCTGGTTGTGGGGTTTAGCTGCTGGCCTGCTTCAAGGGTGCAGCCTTGCTCGGGTTGCTAGAGTAACAGTCTTTCTGGTGGCTGGCCCTGGAGGAGGGATCTTTTGCTGATCTGCCCGAGGGGTGGTGCCCTGCTGCTGGGTTGCTATGGAAATAGGGTCTCTCTACTGGTAGGCCACAGGGATGGGGTCTCTCTGTTGGCCAGTCCCAGGTCAGGGCTTCACTACTGGTCAGCAATAGGGTCCAGGCCTCAATGGTGGCTTGTTGCTGGGGGTGGCATTGGTGGGGTGGGGTGGCTTGCTATGTTACACAGACTGCTCACTTGAGTAGGGGGATCTGCTGGTTTACAGGAGGGTGAAGCCTCATTGGTGGATTGCCCCAGGCCTGGAGCCTTGCTGCAGGTCCCCTGCTAGCTGCTGCTGCTGCTCTTGGACCTCACTCCCCTCCCACCATAGTGAGACAGACCTTTGTTGCAGTGCTGGCAAGCTGCTCCCCTGCTCCTAGACCAATTCTGAGACAGTTTTCTAGTTGTTTGGAGGGGAATTTGAGAGGGCTTCATAGGGTTCCTTCCTCACTCCACTATCTCAGCCCCAGAAGTTGACAAGTATTCTAAGCGGTAGAGATGGGGCAATGAATGCATCACAAGCCCGGCATGACAGCTTGTGTGATTACACACCAGTGGGAGACGAAACGGAAGTTCAAGTCAGCTCCTTTGAGTAAGCCCCAATAAGTACCTCCTATGTGCCAGACAAGGAGCTCAGGGGGGAACAGTTTAAACTGTCCAATTTGGCTGGAACGTAAAGTGCAATGGAAGGAAATGGTACAAGAAGACCCAGACCAGGAAACACCTTAAAGGTGGTACTTGGATTTCACCTGACAGATTCTAGGGTGCCTGGAAGTGAGTGACATCAGACCTGTGCTATGGAAGGCCGCAGCCATGAGACCCAGACCTCCTGAGATGATCGCAAATGTCCAGCTTCTCAAGATCACTGAATGGTCCCACTAGAACAGCAGGGCCAGGTGGCCATGACATGCCTGAGATGCTGGAGCTGCAGGATCTTATGGCAAAACTAGTCTCCTGGCTATAAAATCAGGCAAGAAAAGTGTTCAGCAGTTGGCTGCTGCTCCCCTGTCTGCCACTACTTCTGCTCCTCTGATCGCCAAATGATACCGTACAGCTGATTTCAAAGTGACAACATATTCCCCATTGGCCATTATTTTAAACACAGAGTTAGTTAAGAAGAAAAAAAAAGCCACATTCCCTCATGTTGTAACAGTAAGAATAGCTCACATATAAGAGCCTTTAAAATTTGCAAAGCACAGTATCTCCTGTGATCCTCACAACAACCCTGTGAGGTAGGTGAGGTATCCCCATTTTAGAGGTGAGGAAACTGAACCTCAGAGAGGTTAAGTCATTTGCCCAGGACCACACTCCTGGGAAATGTCTTTGATGGAATTTGAACCCGGGCCTTTCTGATTCTAGGTCCTGGACTCTATCCACTGCTCCATGATTTTAAACACACATACCCACCCCCAACAGCTCACTTTTAAAAGCTTTGTGAAACATCTTTTAAAGCTTCAGGTCCTTTGGGGAAATGCAGTCTTTTAGAATGAGATTCCTGGCAAGTGGTAATGAATTAAGAAGAAAGACAGCAGCCATGAGAACAGAAATAGTTAGATAGCAAAGAAAACTCAGGTGATAAGACCCAGAAAGCAGACCACATGAAAGCTAGCATCCTATCACTTGCACTCTGTGTGCCTCAGTTTCATTATCTGGGAAAAAAATGAGGGGCTTAGACCAGGTAACCTTTAAGGTCCCTTCCAATTCTAAATCTGAATTCTGTTAACTGACTGAAATAATCCTATTTTTCCTGATTGGAAAAAGGGAAGGAGTCAAGGAGCTAATGATTAGTCACTCCAAAAGTTGGGTTTTAGGATCAGGGGACCCTACAGCTAGAAGGGACCTTAGAGATTTTCTAGTCCAATCCCTTCATTTTACAGAGAAAGAGATTGAGGTCCAAGGAAAGGAAGGGACTCGCTCATGCCCAGATAGGAAGTGGCATAATCAGGATTCGAATACAGCTCTGTCTTTCTGCTGTGCCACACTGCTGTGACATCAGCTCCAACCTTCTCCAGTCACATCCAGCTGCCTTTTCTATAAACAGGGTCATGGCAAAGCCAGAGACACACGGATTGTGACAGGTGGGTCCAGGATTCAGGATAGCCAAGAAGAAAGCCCTCTTGGGTCATTCCAATATGTTCCAACTCATAGCAGGCATTTAATAAATGCTTGTTGATTGTTTAAATGATCTAGGCCAACTCTGACCTTTTCCAGAGGAGAAAACTACTCCCCCTGTTCCTCTTCCCACAACTCCACTTGGCCTCTTTACAGGGGTTGCCCAGCTCTGGGTTCAACAGCAAAGGCTGATCTGTCCGTTCAGTGCCTTCCATTTCAGAGGCTGTGTGAGTCTGTTAATGGGCCCCCACCCCTGATCCTCTCCACTCCCCTCCGGGCATTTTACTTAGCAGGAGCAGCCTCTCCTAATGGTGGTACCTTCAGACTCCTGAGCAGGCACCCCTGAATGCAAACAAGCCAGCAACATCTTCTGGCCTCCTGGGACCATCAGATGCTCAGGAAGCTATCCCATCAGAACAGGAAAAGATGGCCAACACCCACCAGCATTAACAAAGAGGAGCAACTCCAGGGGGCTTACTAGACAAGCTGACACTGTATTTGTAATGTGCACCTGGGAGCAGGAAAGAGGTAAGAAACTAAAGAACAGAAAATAGTTATATCTGAAACAGCAAGAAACGGGATACATTCTCTACTCAATAGCATCTAACGCTACGGAGATACAGTAACGCAGCCTTTGACATCTCGTTAGGAAAGCGGCGCGGGCTTCTTCAGGTGCTGTTTCATCTTTATGCCTTGCAACTTTTCATCTTTTAATGCCTTCAGGAATTTATCTGGAAAAGAAGGAAACATGGTTAGCCAGATGGGCTGGCTTCAAGCCCTGGGGATCAACAATGCTCTTTGCGGGGGGCAGCTAGGTGGCACAATGGATAGAGCACCGGCCCTGGATTCAGGAGGACCTGAATTCAAATCTGGCCTCAGACACATAACACTTACTGGCTGTGTGACCCTGGGCAAGTCACTTAACCCCCACTGCCCAACCAAAAAAAATCCACAAAAAAAAAGTACATATAAAAAAAAATGCTCTTTGCCTCAGAGTTTACTTCTGTGGAATGAGTCTGTTGTTGCAAATCATGGGATCATAGGGTTTAATTCAACTCAACAAGCATTCATTAAGAGCCACAGATTTATGTATAGGGCGCTGTCCTAAGACCATAGCTTTAAAGCTGGGAGGGACCTTATGATATAATAATAGTAATGGCTAACATTTAGATAATACTATGAGGTTTACAAAGCCCTTTACAAACATTGGCTTACACAACCCATGGTGGGGAGGTGCTATTATTATCCTCATTTGACAGATGAGGAAACTGAGGTAGACAGAGTTTCAGTGGCTTGCCCAGGGTTAAATAGCTAGTAAGCATCTCAGGAAGGATTTGAACTCAGGTCTCTCTGACTCCAGATCCATCACTCTATCCACGGTGCCACCTACCTGCCTGAGCTGCTAGTGGCTCTGCCACTAAGCTGACTTTAGAGGTCATCTACTCCAACCTCCTCATCTTACAGATGAGGAAACTGAGGCCCAAGGAGAAAAGTCACAAAGGGTCAACCCCAGCTTCTCTGATTCCCAAATCCAGCCCTGTTTCCACTGTGTGAATTCTAAACAAAAACTTTTCTTGTATGTAGCCAGAGAGACAAAATGGAAGAAATCCAGTTTGAGCAAAGAAATCTCTTTGAGACTTGGCATCATGTAATACTTTCTCCTTTCTCCTTTCCCCTTTCTGGCCCTGATTCCCACTCCCCCTCCCCACTGTTATTGAGGGGATTCAACTAAGTTTTTTCCCCATTCCTGACTGTCTCATCCCATGATCCTCAGACCCTTCTTTCTAAGAGATGCTTGCTCCCTTGTATGAGTTGAGCTGGGTTGTCTCTAAGGCCCCTTCCTAAAGCCATCCCTTCATCCCAGCTTCCCTATTACCAGATCCTCTCGTTCACCAGATCCCCACCCTCACTCTCAAAGTCCATCAAATCTTCTTACACTTGACTCCTATGCATTCTGCAACTGAAGTGCAACATCCCTTTGCTGTTTATTGGCACTCTTGTACCTTTGCACTGACTGTCCCCATGCCTGAAATGCTCTCCCTCCTCATGTCAACCTCTAGCGTCCCTGGTGGCTACCTCTCAAGTCTCAGCTCAAACCACACCTTCTTCGAGGAAGTCTTCCCCACGTCCTCTAGCCATGAGCATCTTCTCGCTGAAATGACCTTCTATCTATTCTGTATGGGCAGCTAGGTGGCACAGTGGTTAGGACACTGGGCCTGGAGTCAGGAGGACCTGAGTTCAAATCTGGCCTCGAGACACTTGACATTTACTAGCTATGTGACCCTGGGCAAGTCACTTAAACCTGTGTGCCTCAGTTTCCTCATCTGTCAAATGAACTAGAGAAGAAAATGGCAAACCATTCCAGTATCTTTGCCAAGAAAACCCCAGATGGGGTCACGAAGAGTCAGACACAACTGAAACAACTCGACAACAACAAAGTTCTGTATGTAATTTTTTCCCAGTTATTTGCATGTTGTCTCACATCCATTAGAATGTGAGCTCTTTGAGGGCAGAAACTTCCCTTTTTGCCTTTCTTTGTGGGTTCAGTGCCTGGCACATGGCAAGTACATAATAAATGCTTGTTGACTGACTGACTGTGCTTCCAGCCTGAATTTCCTGTGATACTATGTGCCATCCCCTCTCTGGGCCTCATTTTTTTTCCCTTTTCCCTCTGGTAGTCTCAGAGGATCCTTCCTGCCCTTGTGGCTTGTGATCCAATATATGGAAAGGCTAGATTTTCTCTGTATCTTTTCTTTTTTTTGTGAGGCAATTGGGGTTAAGTGACTTGCCCAAGGTCACACAGCTAGTACATGTCAAGTGTTTGGTCTGAGGCCGGATCTGAACTCAGGTCCTCCTGACTTCAGGGCTGGTGCTCTATCCACTGTGCCACCTAGCTGCCCCTCTGTATCTTTTCCCTTCCACAGGTTACAGGGTCCCAGAAGTTGGGGCTCGAAAGAGATCATATAGTCCAACCCCTCATTTTACAGAGAGGAAAACCAGGGGCTTGGGAGGGAAAGTGACTTGCCCACATCCATACAGGTCACACATGCAGTAAAATCCAAGTTCAAGCCCCAAAGCTCTGACTCAATTCAATACCATTCAGCAAACAAATATAAAGCACCTACTATGTGCAAAATGAGGATGCAGGGTGGCATAATGGATACTAGCTGATAAATACTTACTGATAATTTCTAGTCAACAGGTCACCTAGCAGTTGAAAACCCAAGGCCAAGACTTGGGGCAGCTAAGAGTCTTACTCCTTTCCTTCCAGAGTTTGAAAGTCTGTGTAGCAGCCCTCTCAATTCCTACATCTGGGCAACTCAAAGGTCCCCTCAGTGAGTATCCCCGGGTCTTTGGAGAGGCAGCATGATACAGTGAAAACAGTATGAGGAATCAAAGAATTTTGAGAGTGGGAAGGGACCTCAGTGGCCATCTCACCCAACCTCAACACCAAAGAAATCTCAACTACAATATACCCAGCAAGCCTCAGCAACAAGTTTTGTATTTGAAGCCTACCTCTTCCACTTAACAGATGTGTAACCACATTACTGCAACAAAAGAGTCTGAGTTTCCTCATATGTAAAATGGGGACAACTATGCCAAAGAACTTTTGCAAGGTGACACGATTAGTGAAGTGTTAGAAAAAAAGGAGGAGGAGGAGGAGGAGGAAGAGGAGGAGGAGAAGAAGGAGGAGAAGAAGAAGAAGAAGAAGAAGAAGAAGAAGGAGGAGGAGGAGGAGGAGGAGGAGGAGGAGGAGGAGGAGGAGGAG